CGGGGGGGGCCGGGGGGGGCGGCGCCCGCTCCGCGCCGCCTCCGCGGGGACAATAGCGCGGGGCCATGTCGTCCGCCGGCGGCCGCCAGCCCAGCCAGAGCCGGGCCATCCCCACCCGGACCGTGACCCTCAGCGACGCGGCTCAGCTCCCCCCGGACTACTGCACCACCCCCGGCGGCACCCTCTTCTCCACCACCCCGGGGGGTGAGTACCGGGGCGGGGGAAACGGACGGACGGACGGGACGGGACGGGACGGGGCCTGCGGGGCGGCGGCCGCGGGGCCGCGCCGGGGGAGCGCTCCCGCGCCTCAATAAACGCCGCCTATCGCGCCCCTATCGCGCCTCTATCGCGCCCCTATCGCGCCCCTATCGCGGCTGTATATCGCGCCTGTATATCGCGCCTGTCTAGCGCCTGCCGCCCGTTGTCCTTAAGGCTAAGCCGTTTGAGCCAGCGTTTATTATTTTTCCCCGGGGTATAACGGAGGGGGCAGAGGGGCCCGGTGGGCGCCGGTACGGGGCGGCGGGGGCTCGACACCCCGCGAGGTGTCAGTGGCGGGGGGGGACGGGCTCCGCTTTGACACCCAAGGGTCGGAGCATCCCTCATCCCCGGCAGACGGGGAACGTTTCGGGGTGCCACGTCCGTCGGCCTGCCCGGGGATGCGTTCCCACCCCTGCCGTGAGTTGGCCAGGCCTCTGCGCCCCGGGGGACGGCAGCTGGTACCCAGGTGCTGCCGGGGGTGTTTATCCAGCGCCGAATTATCGCCCGCCGGGCCCAGATAAGAGCAGGCGGAGCGGCGGCACGCAACCTTCCTCGCCTCTCCTTGGGCCGTGGCGGAGATCCTTGGCCGTCCCGCTGGGAATACTTCGGCAAACGAGCGCTGCCGGGCCGGATCTCCCCCCATTTTCCTCTCATTTCCCCCCCAACTCCTTCCCCAGGCACCCGGATCATCTATGACCGCAAGTTCCTGCTGGACCGCCGCAACTCCCCCATGGCCCAGACCCCGCCTTGTCACCTCCCCAATATTCCCGGCGTCACCAGCCCTGGCTCGGCCGGCGAGGAGCCCAAAGCGGACGCCAACAGCCTGAATCACCAGGAGGGGAAGCCGTCCATGGGTAAGAGACCCCTGGGGTGGGGGGTTTGGGGCGGGATTTGGGGTGGGGGGTGACCCCCCCCTAACGCTTCTCTCCTTTGCCTCTCGCCAGGGGATGATGCTCAGTTCGAGATGGATATCTGAGCGGGAACCACGGAGAGGCAGCAACTCCCCAGACCTGTGCACACCCCATTCGGCTTAGCAGGATCCGTCCCGGCGAGTCGGAGGCGGCAGCGGTCCCCACCGGCGTCCCCTTCCCCGTCTGCCTCCCCCCCGCCCCTTTCCAGGGAGTGTGGCTCTGGCTTCACCCTCTTTATGGGTGACCGGTCCCAGCATGTGCCAGCCGGAGCATCCCTCCCGGATCCGGCCCTATTCCTCCTCCTCCACCCGCTGGCAGCCTGATCTCCGCCGGACTCCTTTGTAAAACGTCCCTTTGCCTCTTCTGCCACCTCATGCTTCCCCCCCTTCTCCCCCCCAAAAACCCCCTCTCGTTACCCCAAAACCTCCCATTGCTGGCAGCTTGGTAGTCCGGAGCTGCGTCACCCCCTTTGCCCCTTCTCCCGGAAAATTTGGGCAGCCTCTCGGGAGGAGGGGGAAAGCATTGCTCCCAAAACCGAGCGCCCACTTGCACTCCAGGGAGGGTTTTTTTTTCAGTTCCCCCGGGACCTGCTGGCATTCGGTGGAGGACAACGTTGGCAGTCCGTTCCCTTCGGTGCTCTGGGGGTCCGTGTTAGCCCCCGACAGCGTCAGGCAGTGCGCCCGCATCTCTCTCCTACCTGGATTTCTTCTGTCTTGGCCCTTCGACTGGGGGCTGCATACCCGACCCATCAGCCAGGACTCAAAGCGACGTAGCCATGTTTTACAGAAAACCCCTTGCTTTTTATTTTTTTGGTACTAAAAAGGGGCACTTTACCGGCAACGCTTCTTTTATCGGGCTGGGGACGAGCGCCTCTGGGAAAGTGCTTTCTAGTGCTTTTTTTTTTTTTTTTCCCCCTTATATCCTCCCTCCCCTTTTAAAATGTGAATAATACAGGAGTGAAATCCCTCGGTGCCGCTGGATGTCTCAGGAATAGCTGGGCGCCCCGGGGGGGGCTGCAAGCTGAGACGCCGCAGGGATGTGACGCTGCGGCCGGGAGCACCGCGGCTGCACCCAGGGCGCTCCGGTTGCAGGGTGCCGGCATCGGTGCCATCCTCTGCTCACTTTTCATGCCAGGGCTTCCCCCGGCTGGGTTTTGCTGCCGTGGATAAAGGGTTTCCGTGTTAAACTCCCCACCGGTGGCAGCTTTGTCAGCCTGGCACGTTGTGGCCATCCTGCCTGTGCCCGGCATCTTGAAACCCCCCCAAGAGATGGGATTTATTTTTTCTCCTCTCTTGGTGCGACTCTTGCCTTGAAGAGCAGTGTTGGGTGAGGGCGTGCGTGGTGGGGGATGCTGCGGCGGTGCCGTGCTGTGCCCCCCGAGCCCACCAGCCCCCCTTATGTTTGTTTTTTGTTTTTTTTTTTTACTACCTGTTGGGAGCCGTCAACAACTTTGCAACCTTCTCAAGTGCCATTTTATCAGCCCCCACCTGAGTGCCTGCTCCATCCATCCTCCCTCCCTCGCCGGGGTCATCCCCCCACCCCGGTACCCAGCCCCAGGGACCCGTCGCCTGCCGGGGCGGTGGCTCTGCGTGCCAGGGACGGGTACGTCCCGCACCGGCATTCGTGCTGCAGGTTTTGTGCACTTTCCGTCCGGTAATTTATTTCTCTAGGTGTGTTTGGCGCGGGTCGGCGCGGCGGCTGGTTGCGAGCTCCCATCTTCCAGGTGCTTTTCTCGCAAGGGGGTGGGCTGCCGCTCGTTTTGGGGGGAAAAAGCAAAAAAAAAAACCCAACCCCAAGGGAATGGGATATCTCTCCTGTCCTTTCCCTTGTGTGGGTAGCGCTTGGTGGGATGCAATGTGAACGTGTAGCCGGCCGTTGTAGGTGCACGAGTGAGTGAGTGCAAGTAGAAATATGTATATGCGTGTGGGTGGGTGGTGATAAGACACACACAAATATATATATTATATATAAATAAATATATTTTCCTTAAAGTGAAGATCCTAGGAGGTCTCTTAGGCCCTCAGATCGAGGGAGCGGCAGGGGCAGGGGGCGAGGACATCCTTTGCGGAGCGGGGACGGCCACTGCAGATGCAGGGACCCAGCGCCCTCGGCACAGCCACTCGTTTCGGGAAACCTGCTCTCCAAGCCAAAAAAAAAAAAAAAAAATAGAAAATATCCAAGGACAACTTAGCTTACGGACAGGAGCTGGAGGGAAAACACTTTTTTTTCTAAAGGCCCCCTTTCCTGACCTCCTTTCGTCTCCGTTTCCCATCCCAGCGACTTTCTCCCGGTTCTCTTTTATAACCAGGCTCGGGGCTGAAGAGCAGGGAGGGAGTGCCTGGCCTCGCCGGGACAGCTCCTCTGCTAGTCAGGGTATAGATTTGGGTTGTTTTTTTTTTTACCGTCTCTTCAAGCAGGTGTTTGGGAGGAGAAAAGCTCTCGCCAGTGGTTGCTGTTACAGTGAGATCAATAAAGATCTTGGTTCTATTAAATCGAGGTGCTGGAGGTTTCTTCTGACTGTGACTCAGGGTGTGGGAGGGATTTTCCCTTCCTTTCAGAGCAAATGCTGCCTGGGCTTCACCCCCCTTGCAGGTCAACCCTCCTTCCTTTATATTTTAGCTTTTTGTTTTGTTTTGTTTTGTTTTGTTTCCCCCTCCCAAATTCTTTAGGTGAGTTGCTTTCCAAGTTTCCAATTTGGAAAAAAGGCAGATCTGGGCCAAGGACAGTAAATCTGGAGAGGGAGTCCCCGCCTCTTGCTGGGCATAACTCTTAAAAAGAGCAGGGGTCGGTCAAACCCAGAACCAACAGCCAACGTTTGAGCAGGGGGGACTTGATTGCAAAATTTCCTGTACAGAAAAATCTGATTTTACTGTAGAAAGGTCTCCTGTGTACAGAATTACTGCAAATTGGTCATTTATCCTGCACCACCAGGTGCAAAAACCTATATAGACCTGGGCATCAAACTAGAGAGGTGCCAAGGAAAGTCCTGCTCGGGACATGTCCAAGCCAGACTCTGAACGTGCAAATAAACTCCTGAACTTAAGCTGAGCTTAAATTGCAACCCCCCAGAAATTTCCCACATTGCTGCTAAATGTGTTTTTGCACCAGCCCGGGGGTATACCCCCCTCCCATAACCCCTTCCAGCTGATGCCGAAAGGAGCATACACCCGCATACTGCACCCATCCCTGCCTTGCGAGTGCTGGGCGAGTCCCCAAAATGTCAGCTGCGCTGCTAAGGCTGCCGTATAAACTGGGTTTTAGCTGCCGGAGGCTACAGAGCTGTTGCAAAGCCAAAGCTGGTTTGCCCATCAGCGCTGGCCAAGGAGAGCAGGCGGGTATGAGCGTGGGGGTACGGCCACCCCAACCCAGGCTCATCTTTGAGGGGGCCTGATGGACCTTAACAGCCCCTGAGCAGGCTCACCATGCCCAAGAGTATGTTTAAGCCCAGCCCCTGGCCTGGCTGCATCATATTTAAGTTTTAAACCAAGTAGCAGCATAAGTCAGCCTTTTATTATACCATCCGCTCTGTATGGGTGGGGGCTCTGAGCAGCAAAAGCCTTTTCCCCCCTAGTAGGAAGGGTGCTGCGGGGTGGGTGGGAGCAGGGTGTCCCCTCCCTCCGGCTGCGGCAGCCGGATCCTGGGGTCCCCCCCCAATTTTTTGTGGGTGTCTCAGCAAACTACCAGCAACCCCCCTCCCCACACCCTGGCGCTGTGACACCCCCGAAAGCGCGTCGCTCGGGGATGCAGAGTCCCCGTGTGAAATGCCGCAGCGGCACGCGGTATTTCCAAACCACCCACGCTCGCTCAGGTCCCACGGGTGAAGCCGGGAGGGTGGCACCAAGGGTGCCGCTGAACCTGGGTTTTGGAGGGGGGGGGGTTCCTTGCGCACCCCTCGTTTGGCCATACCCGGCGTGGTCCTGCCGTGACCTCCCGTGGATGTGGGCGCATATTGCAGCAGCGGTGCCTCCGCTCCGCCGGGAGCCCAGGGAAGGGCTGTCACATCATGCTGTTACCCAGGTTATTATTAAATTATTGTTATTCAATTATTTTTATTACTATACTCTTGCTTCTCACGCTCCTCTCCAGCCTGATCCTGAGTTAAAAAGTGAGATGTAGGAGGGAGGGGTGGAGAAGGCAGCAAGGAAACCTCCTCCTTTGGAGCAGGCACCACTGTTGGTGCAGAGCATGCGTGTTGCACGGCTGCTCCCTCCCGCAGTTTCTCCCTGAAATCTGGCTCTGCGGGTTGTTTCTGACCTGAAGTCTCTATTCAGGGGTGCCTAAAGCCTGGCGGGGCAAAAAAATCCAGAGGAAAGCTGGGCTGCTTGGAAACAGGCAGCAAGACTTTTGAAAAAATGAAAGAAAATCAAAATAAGAGATTTTTCCTTCCACCACTGAACGGGAGCGGTGGATCGCGGGTTGCTCTTTTTTAGTTCTGCGATGTTAGCCGATTTTGAGGCGTGTGTACGGAGGAGAGGAGCAAGACACAAAATACCACTCATGAGGCATTTGGGAGCTCCCCTCTTCTGGGTTTGGCTTTGCCTATGCAATGCTGAACTTAGGGGAGCGACAACTGTTTTCCTCCCCAATTTTGGGGTGCCTTTTTTTTTTTTTTTAAACCTGGCTTCCAAAGCCCCTGCAGTGAGGTGCACGTGTGGGGGGAGCCCTGGCTTTTGGTGTGCTCCTTAGGACGGAGGGAGTTTCTAGATGCTGATTTGGGAGCTAAAAATGGAGAATTTAAAAAAAAAAATTGGTAAAATTTCAATCTAGCACTGAAGCTCTGAATTGATAGCGAGCTGTAAACGAGCTAAACTGGGGTAATTTCATGTGCAGCAGGGTGAATGAAACCTTGGTTTGATTTATAGCTCTTGACTGGAGTTTTAAACCAGCGGAGTTGCCGTCTGTGTGTGCGACTGCTGGGGTCTGCCCTGTGGCGTTCAGCTGTAAAATTCAGCAGAGCGGCTCAGGAAAGGGTATTTTGGCTGAGCCGAAGGCTGGGAGCCTGGCTAGTATCTAGGATCCCGATTAACAAACTTTCCAGCCCTGCTTTCCAGCCGTTACCATTTTCAGACTCCCTCTGGGCTCCGTTTACATTCCTGACCCTCCTTCCCAGCACCAGCGAATGTGTTAATGCCGTTCTTCTTTTCCTTCGACCTGTTGGTGTCCTATAAAGATTTATTTGACAGTGTGGCAGCTGTGGCTGGTGCTGGCTACGAGCAAGGCTGTAGTGCCAGGACGTTGGGGTTCTCTGAGGGAGCTGGGGCTGGGGTCCTCCTAGATGGGACCCTCTGAGAGCTCAGAGGTCAACCCAAATGAAATGGGGGAAGGCAGCTAGGAGCTGAAGGAATTGGGTTTTTGATGGATTAGCTAAAATAGCGCCTTTCCGCGGCAGCAGAATAAGTGCAATGCCTGTTGGCAACGAGGGAGACCTGAAGTCATCTCATGGCTTGACTCTGTGCTG